TAGACACGTTAATGTACACCTGTAGTCCAGCCACTCAGGAGTCTGAGGCAGGAAGATTACTTAGGCTCATGACTTTTAGACCAACCTGGACAACACAGTAAGACACTGCCTCAAAAATTAATCAATTGTGCCAGGGTGATAGCTCAGTGGCTAAAGTGCCTGCCTGGCAAGCAAAAGTTCCTGGGTTCAATCCACAATTCAAGAAAAAGGAAGAAAGAAAAAAGAAAAATCAATACCAGGAAATAACCAGGCCTATTTGCAGAAACCATCACTGAACACAGAAGTATGTGTTGGCTGGATGTGGTGGCACATGCCTGAAATCCCAACAATTTTGAGGCTGAAGCAGGAGGATTGCAGTTTTCAGGCCAGTCTAGGCCATCTAGATACTGTGTCTCAAAAAAAGGGCTGGAGCTAGTGCTCAGTTTTGTGTAAGGTTCAATCCCCACAAGTAACTTCAGATGGAAATGCTAAAAAAAAAAAAACCTAAACAGCAAGAAGTTAGATTCTAAGGGTCCACAGAGGAAAGTGTTGAGCAGGGAAGGCCTTTAAAATACAGCTTTGGGGCTAGAGATTTAGCTCAGCAGTAGAACACTTGCCTAGTGAGGGGGAAGCCCGGAGTTGGGTTCCCAGCACCAAAACAAAAAGAAAATATAGTCACTGCCAGGGAGATAGCTCAGTGACATAAGCACCTACCTAACAAGTGCAAGGTTCTGAGTTCGCTTCCCCAGTACCACAAAAGTAAAATATAGTATCACTAACATATAAAAGCTTCCTCGGGGCTGGGGAGACGGCTCAGTGGTCTAAAGCACCTTCTTGGAACAAGCTTAGCAAAGCACAGGGACCGCGGTTCAATCCCCCAGCACCACATGCCAGCCAGCCTCGCCCCCTGGTGGGCTGAGCTGGCCACACACACACACACACTCTGAATAAATAAATAAAATTCTTTAAAAAAAATAAATAAATAAATTTCATTTAAAAATAAAAAAATAAAAAAAAATAAAAGCTTCCTGACAACATGAACACAGACAGTATTCAGAAAGAAATAAAAATGTAACAATACCTAGCCAAGTATACAAAATTCGACATTACAAACAAAAATGTTTTCATGGAACATTTATCAAAACAAACTACGCTTTAACTCACAAATAACCCTTCAACAAATTTAAGATACAGTAGTGAGCCAAAATTAAAAATGTAGATGTGAATTAAACTACTACTAGTACCCTCTAGTCAGAGAATTAAAACCAGAACTACCAACTATTTAGTAAACACTGAATAATACATTCATGTAAATGCAGCCAAAGCTGTACTCTGGAAGAACAGAGTAACAGAGAACAATGTACATGGTGCAGAATTTCAAAACAAGAATAAAAATTTAACAATGATTGTTGCATTACATAGTTTCATCCTAAAACCTGTTGCTCAGATTAACAGATACAATTATGCAAGAGTGGTCAAATAATTAAACATTTACACTTACTTTAAATTAAAAAAAAAACTGTACTCTGGGCAGGGAGATGGCTAAGTAGAATAAGTGCTTCCCTGGCAAGCGCAAGGGCCTGAGTTCAATCCCTGGTTCCACCAAAACAAACAAACAACAACAAAAACTGTACTCTGAGGCAAATGAAAAGAGCTTTAAATATGACCAAGTGTGGTAGCACATGCCTGTAAACCTAGCACTTGGGAGGCAAGGCAATGGGAAGGATCTTAGCAAGTTTGAGGCCTATCTGAGCTACAAAGTTCAAGCTTTCCTGAACTGCAGAGTGAAATCCTGTCTCAAAAGAAAGATCTTAAGGGGCCCAGGGAGATAGCTCAATGTCATAAGCACCTGCCTGGTAATCCCTGAATATCTTAAAAAAATCATCTCCCAACCTTTATAACTACTAATTTTACACCATCCACAAAGCAATCCCAAAATATTTGTACAGCTGTAATAAACTAGTTTATTTTTTAAGGCTCTTCTAACCCCTCCATGCACCAAAATATAACAAAAGGATTAAGATTAAAACACAACAATTATTAAAAGAAAAAAATACAAAAATGTTTTTATAAAGGTGGAATAGGAAAGATCTTAAACAGATGGCAAGGGATTAATACTCATATGTAAAGAGCTTCTACAATTAAAATAAAGAAATACAGATAAGGAAGTATTGTTTTTGAAGACAATTTAGCATCTATCAAAACTTAAAATACACACTTAAAACTTTGTATGGAATGCCAGCATTCAGGAGGCTGAGGCAGGAGGATCACGGTAAATTTGAGGCCAGGAAGAGCTACACAGTGAGTTTAAGTTCAAGACCAGCCTGAATTATAAAGTGAGACCCTGACTCATACAACACTGATGCTTATTTCTAACTTTTTTTTTTTTTTTTTTTGAAACGAGAGTATTGCTAGCTATCTCAAGCCAGCCTCAAACTCACTGGGATTACAGCCTCAACTAGGTTTACAGGTGTGCACCCCCATGCCCATCTCTACCTTCTTAAATAAAACTGTTAACAAGGGGTAAATACCTCAAAAAAGGGGACAAAATGAGGAAAGTAATTTTCACATATTACTCTAACTTGTCTGCATCTTTTACAATGAGAGATTTTAAAACGGCGGAAAAAAAAACGCTATTCTAAGTTTATCATATGGTTATCTCTGATAAAACTACGATAATTTTTGTCCTATTTCAGAAGTTTTCACTATTAAGTTTTCCACTAGAAATATGTATATTTTTGGGCTGGGACTAATATATGCAATTTTTTTTTTTTTTTTTTTTTGAAACGAGAGT